ATTAAACTGATTTGTGTTATAATAATATCAACTAAGCATTGTAACCATAGTTGACCTTAGGATGTGTTGAGCATGAAACGATGAAACTTCTTTACATATATATACACACATACAGATTGAAGACTGATAAGTTGAGATAAGAAGAATGATACATTTATGCTGTGAAAAAAAATAAGAAAACAAACAGGGGAAATGAAGAAATGATATATATCTGATTTTTAACAATGGATATTTTCAGAGAAAAATAAGTTCGAGTTGAATAAACAGTGAAGAAAAGGAAGCAATAAGTATAAGAATTAACAATATTTGTAAATATATGCTTATTCTTCGATTGAATTCAATAAAAATGAGTCAGATAATTTAAAAAGTGATTGTTTGGCCTATCAGTAGAATATTTACGAGTTATTTACTTTTCTTTGGTTGTTGAAATTAAAAGTGATGAGATCTATATGAAGCCTACTTTTAGCTATTGGTCTAATGGTTACTTCTAGTCATGGTGTTTTGATTAGAATTGAATAAATTAGGGTTCAAACGATTCTGTAATCATCTAATACTCATGATCCAGTTTGTTTGGTCTATTTTGTCAATAATATGAATAACTTATTGTCAAAGTGTTCAATTTCGAAGTCAAACCGAAAGATCATTTCATAACATTCCTTTTTCGACTATTTGATCTAAGATATTTTGATTATTCAGTAAATGCGATTCTAGATGTAGATTACAGTTTTCTGTTCTTTTTGTTGCTCTTTATCTGATTTAATGATTTTCGATGTTTGTTTGAGTAAGTTTAGAGTGAAGAGATTTTTGGATTGAGTGGATGTGTCGAGCTGAAATCAGTATATTGATTTGAATGTGTCGGCTAGCTGTGTGTGGTCAGATTTGAACTTCCATTTGAATTCATTTTAAGTAATTAGTCTGAAAATGCAGATGAATTTTATGTGAGCTAAAAATATATTTACCACTTTAGAAACATTATTTTATTCAGAACAATCCAATATGAGTATTGAATAATAATTAAATTCCATTATTTACTAAAGTGGTCTATATCAATACATTTGCATGGCTCAACAATTAATTACATCACAAACTAATATCATATTAAAAACTACCTAAAACCGAAAAAACACAGTGAAAAACTCATCCGTCCAAGTTTAAAACTCTTTAGTAGTCTATACTCATCATACATATAGTTTAAGCAGAAGATCTTCAAGTATTGTGTTACGTACGTTATATAAACTAAGAGTACACATTTATTGATCCAAAGTATTCCTTTAAGCAATATTGAAATATTTTTTTAATCATAATACTCTTCTCTCATATTTTCCTATGGGATTTTTAGAATAAATTCAAATATATTTGGTTATACGAATTAAATAAAATTGATTTAAATTTTATTAAGTTTTAAAAATAAAACCCAACTGGATACTGTAACAGATGAGAATAAACTGTGACATTTTCAATTCACACTATTGCTCAATATAACCATTCGTGTATTTTTTTCTCCTCATAGAAATTGGTTTTTAGGAGAGAGGGAAGTAGGAAACAATTATCTAACTACTATTCAACTTGATATTTCTATTATGTTTATCAATATCTCAACCAACAATTGTTTTCCCTTTTTGAGTGGTATATGTAATAACATTACTACTATCACTACATAATCGTTATTATTATTATTAGTACTATTACTATTACCAGCACCACCACAACTACCACCACCATCACCATCACCATCACAGATAATGGTTGCTTGATTTATAGCTGTAATGCGTGTATCTCTATTCTACTATTTAACTTTTACGTATCGTTATTTTTCAATGACATAAAGGAAAATAAAATAGATCAGATAAATGAAAGAATTTAGTTTTTACAAAATTTAAACTAAAATCTATTTCACTAGTTTTCATAAAATAATAATAACAATAATATTTTTTGAGCAATAAAATAAATGATATTCATTGGGAGAAAGAAGGAAAAAAGAAAGAAAGAAACGTCATACTTAATTAATTTTGAATTTTTCCCAAATTAATTTTTATTTTGACAATTATCTAAAGCTAATTAATATAAATGGTTTCAATGAAAGTTATGTTAATGAAAAGATATCGTTTATTCTTTTCTTTTTTTTAAAAAAAAAACTATTTACAAAGTGAAGAACAACTGTTAAATAATCAATCAGTGTTTAGTTACTTAAATGGGATACAATATTAGAGTTATTATATATTACATGTTTTTTTGTTTATAATAGAAGAATAGAATAGTTTATTGATGTATACAGTAGTTATAATAGATAAGCCAAATTAATATAATCAATGATTGACCTAATTTTTTTATTAGGTAAATTGAATTATCAATGCCAAATATCTAAGTGAATAGATTTCATCAAATATAAATTATTGATCAGTAAATGGTTATAAATTTTTCTAAAGGAAAATGAAACATTTTTTATGTGCAGAAAGTTAAATGATTGTAGAATATTAGTTTTATAAGTTATTCATCAGTTAATAGAATCAAGATTTGATTAAGTTTTGCATTTTCTTCATCATATAAGTTGCTACAAGATAAACAATCACTTAGCAACAGAATCTGTAGGTTTTTAAAATACACCTATTCAACGCTAATTGATTATGATAATTTAAATAGGGAATAATGAGATTCGAATTCATGTTTACTTAGGACTATCATTATCACTTTGCTCAGTTCAACCATGTAAAGAGATAGGCAGTTACCCACGAATGACATCAAATGTTTCTTGCACAATATTGTAAAACTGACTTTATTTAGAAATGTAAATCAACAGATGCTAAACTAATGGTTAAACGCTAACTATAAAGCTTGGAAATCCTAGGTTCTATCACAAATGTGCTCCATCTAGCATACCAGAATAAAACACCTATCCAGTGCTTCCTGGTACTCACTAGTTTTCAATCAGCTTGTAATGCAAACTATAAAATTTATCAGTTTTCACAAACCGTCATTTTATACAAATCACTTAGTGTCATTTAGTTTATGAAATTATAATGGAAAAACGTCACCTGAAAGTGTTAATAAAATCAATCCAACTGAATTAATAAAATATCATTAAATAACTTAGGTAACCAAAGTGATAATTTATTCACAAAACTAATCAGCAAATCTCAGATGAGCAGATTTCATGACATTTATTACAACCTCTCAATCTTTCAGTAACCCGTTTTCATGAGAATATAATTAAATGATTTATTTTGGGATCAAGTTAAAGGCAAAAGGTTATTTCAAAACAATGTACTATTTCAGAATTATACAATACTATACGGGAAACATCTCTGACTGATAGTATTTCAGAATGTTATTTGTCTTCTTTAGCTTCTCAGTTGAATTTATTTATAATCTTGAACAATTATTTTATCTTAGTTTTATAATATTAATTCTTGTAATTTGCTGACCCATTGAAACATGCAGTTCTGACGGTACTTTGTTTTCGGGCAGTCACAGTAAAATAAGAGAAACATATCAGTGCAGGGTTTCAATGTATGTAACAAATTCATTTACTTGCATTGCAGAGAAAATCATGGTTGATGGTAAAGTTGATAATCAAGGAGTAACATTACTTTATATTAGCTAATCGCTCACAAGGTCTTAGTTTAGATATAGGAGTTATTTGGAAAGTATCTACTAGCGTTTCTAGGTAGTTAACTGTTTAACAAAGGAAGGGTAAGCATATGATCAGTCTAAATGCTATGTTGAGATTGACAGGTGAGAGTAAGCACCTTAGTATCTCAAGGAATTGATCATATATCTTAGAAGCATATCAGGGAGCTACTGAATAAAAACTGTCAAACTTAAAGATGAATCTGACAAGGTTATGTTATATGTTAATACTGATAAAGTGTGGCGAATGAGATTGTTAGATCATGTAGTATACAAATGAAGTCATCGTTTTTTGAGCCTCAAGTGCTAAACAAATTAGAACTAAGTTCCAAAAAGTCTGTGAATATATATATATATATATATATATATATATATATATATATATAACAAACCATATTAAGAATTCATCGTCACTGATATTTTTGTTTAAGTATACTTCAGTGATCTTGACTATCTTATTACGGTTTAGGGAAAGATAAACAACTAGTCACATTGATGGCAGTGTATTCACCGTTTACTTTTTAAATATTAAATGCTTATTCGATCATTATTTATTGCTTATTCTATCCATGTATATCTTTTATGTTTGTTTTAATATTTTTCTATTGGTGTTGACATCCATTTGTATGCTGTTAAGAATTTTGAAAGTTTGATTTAATAAACTCTGAATGACTCATTAACTGTAGGGCGTTTTACCAGTTTTTAATATTAGTTTATCAATCTGAAGATGTAATTTTATTCTTTAAGTACACTGTTTTAGTCTTTATTTGTTTCTATTATTCAATATCTTAATATATTCTTAGTTTTGTCTACAAGTAATTAATTAATAACTAAAAATTTAAGTTTTCATTATTAATGGTAAACATGTACTTTTAAACATAATTACTTCGTATCAAGTTCATTAGACCACACCCATTTCTTACTGTTTCCTTATGATTTGTAAATATTAAAAGGTATAGTCTCTTAGTATCAAGAAAATTCTTTGCAACGAGATGTTTATCTCTTTTATTATCCTTAAAGTACTGTGATTTTATGTAGAATATAAAGCATATCGCAGTTACCAAGTAGACTATAATATCCATTTGCCAGTTTGTCAAAAATTTAGCATTCGATTAAATGAAACTTAGTTCTAACTACTAATTCGAAATATTTTTCTTATTTTTATCATTAGCTATTAAAGAGTATTCGGAAACTTCAACATGATAATCAATGTTTCAACGAATACATTTAATGAAATGAGTAAACCTAATTAATAAATTTATTTGAGATAAAGCATACATTTCTAGTTTATATTAGAGAACCAATATTTAAAGGCACCAATACGAAAACTGTTTTATGTTTAAAAAATTTGTTATAATTAATGCTGAATAAAGTGATCCGTTAACATCATCATCATCATCATCATCATCATCATCATCATCATCATCATCATCATCATCATCATCATCATCATCATCATCATCATCATCATCATCATCATCATCATCATCATCATCATCATCATCATCATCATCATCATCATCATCATCATCATCATCATCATCATCATCATCATCATCATCATCATCATCATCATCATCACCAATTTCGCATATTTTATATTCAAAATCATTTATCTAATCAAATATATTTTACTGAACTATGTCATATTGTCGATTCCGGCTGAATGATTGAAAAAAACTAGACAAATCAAAGGCAAGTTCATATATTTGAAAATATAGGTTATGTGTTTAGGACTGCTAACAAATTAAATTTGTTTGCCTTTGTAAATAGTAAAATAACTAGTATGTAATAGTTACTTAAATTAGTTAAAATTACTAGAATAGTTAGAATCTGTATACGTGACGTAGATTTGTAAAAATTAAAAAAAGATAGTTACATTATAAAGTATTCTATCAGAGATTACGTAATACTTGATAAACTTTGAATTAAGTGGAAGATAAGTATCTAAGATACAATTACTGTTTTTTAGTCAGTTAAATATGAATCAGGATGTAAACTTTCGTTAATCCATTTTATAAATGAAATAATGGTTTACATGTTAAAATGAAAGTTGACCAGAGTATAAAGGGAGGCTAAACATCTTACTTCTGAAAGTATAGCTTCAGTTTTTCATTTCATAAAGTTATAGCTTCTGCCAATTAGAGGATTGTTAGCCTGATCGCCTGTTATAAATTACTATTGATATGAGAGAATATTTTAAAGGAAAAATGATTGATTAGTGCTGGCTTTATGATTATTCAATTTAGGGTGGTAAAAATTGTCAATAATACCACACATTAAAGACATTCAAATTTCAATATTTTATTTTGGTTTGTTAACTTGTTTCTTAATAAGCAAAGATTGATAGTGGCTAGCAGTGAAATCCACGACACACGTTTCATTCTATTCAGGACTCGTCAGCTAGATATATTTGCATCCCAGGGTTGATGTTCACCCTAGGACTCGAACTCAGTACCGTTCGCTTCAAACTCCATGAGATTAATCAATTGAGGTCCTAACAATTGGAAGATACAAATAAAACAACATCAAGTGAACTGTTTCCTAATGTTTATTTACTCATGAAAAATGTTTCATTCCTGATACACACAAACATTCACTTCAGTCATTGGCTGTATATTAACAAACTATAAAATATTCAACACAAAACCATTTCTATTTTATTAAACTGTCAATGTTTGATTTTGGTGGTCCAGTGTTTAAGTGCTCGCGCGCGAGACTAGTGAGTCCTGGATCTGAATCTCACGAGGAGGGATCGTGGATGCACACTGCTGAAGAGTCCCATACTAGGACGAGACGGTCGTCCAGTTCTTCCATGTTTTCCATGGTGATCTAGCTTCGATCGACTCATGAATTCAACTATTAAATGTTCAATTTTGTCTGATTTTATCAAATTTTGTTTATTCTGATAAAATAGACATATATAGTGAACGAGTTTTGAACGAACAATCATGATATTTGTACGATCAATTTAAGTGTTTATTTATTTAATGAAATAAATTGAAATCAACATAAGTTACATTTTCCAAAGTAATACATTCTAACAGATTTCTTTTTTTTAACTCAGTTTAATTTTCTAGGTTATTATTACACTTTTAATGTGAATATTGATTAGTTATATTATTTTAACTCGGTTTCACTTACATTACAGATTGTTATAAAATATTATTATGTTAGTGATACCGTGGTGTGTGCTACTTATGTTGACATAAGTAGTATATAACGATAGTCAAGAATAGAATATCTAGCAGCAGAAGATCGAAAAAGAAAGAACAGGAACAGAAAGCGATTGGTATGGAAATACAGGAACAATGAAGTCTGAGACGACTGACTGATATTTGCAAAAAGAACAGTCAAGTTTAAGACAACTGAATGATATTTTGCTAATGAAGTATTTACTGTATGGTTCTCAGATTTTACTAATATGTTCTGTAATTTTGTGTTGAAATATATTCAATGGTACCCTACTTGTGTTCTCGTTCACTACAGTATCAGTATCAGTGTTGGATTTGATAGTTGTAAATAAATTGAGCATTAGGTGGGGAGTTAATAATAAATATTTTTTATTATATTTCAATGAGCTTTTTTATTCACACTAAAGAAATGGCTTATATTAAGTCACGAAACGTCAGAAATACAATTTTCCTACTCAATGGGATATAAAAAGAAATTATATTTATTATATTAGTGATGATTTTTTCAATCCTGCAAATCACTATGTCATAATATCAAGTTAACTTCTTAGTAATATGGTGTGTTGTAAGAAAAAACATAGTCAATAAAATATCAAATTTAATTTCAACTTGAACAATTCGTCTAAACACAATATGACAAATGTATTCTCAGCTATCTAAAATAACGAGTCATTTGTAGGGAGTTTTTAGGGATAAGTTTACATGACTGTGTTAAATCATAGTCAGTCTTTACTTCGAATATTTAATTACTGATAGTTTGAAAACAAAACTACCACCAAAAATTCTGTCTATTTCAGGTTTTGTGATATTTGTTTCTCATCAGCAAGACATAGCTGTAATCTTGAGAGAACCTATATCCCCTGGTTGGTTCGAACCCGTATCGTCGAGGTTTGCAGTTTGAAACTTAACTATTAAACAATTCAGGTTATGACCAATATTAGTCAGTATTCGGTGATCGATCAATCATAAATATTTCAAACCCGCAGATCATTTGAAGCCAAAATTAATGCTTAGATGAACTCCCTCAAACCGAATCTTTGTGATGTTGACTACCTAACAAATTTACCCATTTTACAAACTGATCTTAGACAATAATTACTTATATATGTAAGAACTTAACGAGAATACGGTATCTTTATTTTTCTTATTCACTTATATATATATATATATATATATATATATATATATATTTAAAATGAATTCACCAATAAACATATTTTTCATCGTTATTCCAAATATCAAATTACATATGAATAGGGAATTTTATCCTACTTCCTAATTAGGTGATAAGGTCAGTTTAAATGTGATTGTTTTCGATTATTTTCTTTTGAATAACCATATATTATTTCAGCAAAATTAAATAATCTTTAATGTTTATTCTTGTTCATCTTCTTATAACTGTGATCTGCTTAAGATAAAAATTAGTTCTATATAAATCATATTCATACATTAAAGGTAACCATTCCGTGCAAGTTTTTAAATGTTTTCCGTTCTATAGTGTATTATGTAAAAAAATTACTTCTTTCACAATTGGTTAATTGCTATTATGAGTTTGTTACTATGTGAGTTATTCATACGAATATTCGTCAAGATTAGAACGAATAGTTTGACAAATATTGGGCACCGAGTATAGAGAAATCATTATATATGTAAATTATATTTGAAATAATCTCAGCGATTGAGATTATTTCAAATATAATTTACATATATATGTGAGTTATTGTTTGTAATAAAATGTATCATTAAGATTGGTGAATATCATAATAATTTGAAGATACTTATCATTAGAGATTAAAGTTACATGACATTAAAAACACGATTCATTTGAGACCGACTCAGTGATTTAAGAATTCTTTTGCTAACCATGAAATCTGTATGTCTTGAATCCTATTCGTTATGTGGTCAATAATGCACGCTGCCGAGGATTTTCAGACTAAGATAAGGTAAGTATTTAGTGCTTCCTGATGTACAACTGATATAAATTCATGGTGAAAAACCAGATCTGATCGACAACATCAAAAGACTATCTTAACAATAAATTGATAGTGTTAAGCTTTTATGCGCCAGATATGTAAATGCATAATTTCAAATCATTGGGATGATTATCAATATGAAACAGGAAATTGTAAGACTCTGTGTTTCATCCTGTGTTAGACTCGTAACTTCACTTTTATTACACAGAGAATTTTTTCTATAATTAAGCCTTCAGTTTTTTAAACTTCCCTCATCTATCAAAGTTTATTTGGGAAAGTATAACTAAAGCTTCTCTATTCTATAAATAAGGTAGTCCGTTTTCATCAACCTTTCAATTTCGAGAAGATAAACATCTATACAAACAAAATGCGATCCAGTATATTAATGAACATGATCATCTTATCTTTATTAGAGCTCTTCCGACATATAATGAAAAAAACTTTGAAGGTTTATAACTTTCATTACATAATTTCATAATTTTCACTTGAAAATAAAAGGCATCATGATAGAAACGTTTTATATCTGCTACTCAAGTTGATGTATTTTGTAGTGTCGGTTACTATGTTAATCCCGTATAGCTTCTAGACAAGCCAATTTATTCATTCTTCTTGAGCCACTTTTTGACCTTGTTAATTATTCACTTATCAATCCTGACTGCTTTTATATGAGCGTATGTATGTGTACATCTTATTCTACTCAAAACATGTTTGTAGCTTATTTTTGTGTGACTATAAATATTGATTAACTCTTAATTAAATGGAGTTGGCTAACGCGCTTTCACTGCTCGTCATTTCACTTCGTTCTCTTTTCTTTGCTTCGTCCTTCTGATCGTCTGTCCAGATCAATTAGTGTACAAAATATACGTATTCAAAACTTAATTCTCGAATTTGACTTATTCAATTCCGTTACTCACTAACTTGATATAAGTTGATAATTATATACGAGAATAGTCAGAATGTACATTTCAATAACGATCATTTGTACGATCCAATTGGAGTCAGATAAGGAGCCACAATTTTTAAATCAAGCAATTAATTTAAAAATCTTCAGATCTTATATATTTAAAATGACGGATATTTTATTATATGCATATCATGCAAGAAACATTATCAACAGCAAGACTATAATTTATGGACAAACCAATTAGATATAAGATAACACGTGTTGGATTTTGGCGCGAAATTCATTCATACATTTAGCCAAATAAAATTTTAGCATTATAGTTGATGTCAGTTCGTGATGAAAACTTTAAATCTAATACTTAACTCTAACCATTAACTGAAAATCATAACTCTATCTGGTTTATAATCGTCATTTAGTCTTAATCAGTAGATATCCATTCCCAAGGTCACTTCAGCGTCTCTCAAAGATCGTCCATAAATTAAAGTCTCATCATTATCAACTTATATTTATTATATGATTATTGAATCATTTCCAGATTATTTAACTATG